AAATAATTCCGGGCAGATGAAATATCGTCTCTTTTAAATGTTGTTCTAAATGTGATTATAAAATATACTTTATACGAATTTTTATGTATTCTGAAGTTAATAGCTAAGAAAGGCACATATACTGGTTTGAACTATGCTGGATCCTAACTATCCTGGACACTATATATAAAAAGTGATCGGTTTATCATAAACCACTTGATTACTCACAAAATAAATGCAATATTGGAAAAATAATTTTTTAAATGACAATTTACGTATTTAACTATCTTATAAAATAGGAAATAATCTAATCAAGAAAATGACGGATTGAAAACAATTTTTCGAACAGTATTTCAGAAGTTATTAACAATTTTAAGTAAATACTGGTGTTGAGGAGTGGGTGCTGCTATTTTTATCTCTAGAAATTACCTTGCCATATATTTTGTGCTGCTTAGGTTTAAAATGAAAGTAACATCCGAAGTACTAACTCAAAATTTATTATCGACCAGTCATTTTCTTAATTAGATAATTTATTCTTTTATAGGTTAGTTTAATACGTATGACATACATATTAAATAAAGTTCACACTCCTATACATTATAAAGAATGATCCTAAAAAGTAATTATTAACTGATTAATCATGAATTATATGTAATTAAAAAAATTATTTTTCCAATATTGTATATATTTTGCGAGTTATCGAGTACTTATGATAAACCGATCACTGCGTATATTAATAGCACGGGCTTTTAATTATGTGCCTTTATAAATTTTATACATGTATATTTTTTTTTAATTAAAAATAAAACTATAAACAAGCATGGTCAAAAACAAAACAAAAATGCCCCACACTTTTTAAAAAAATGTCCTAGTTTTCACATACTTGTACTGGAAGTTTTTAACATATACAATGTAAAGGGAAATTTTTTTAAGCGACAATAAAAATGTTTTAGTTTTGTACGAATTTTCAATCCTTAATGTATTATAGCAATATTTTTCAAACAATATATCATACTGTAAGTATGGAAATTTTTAAATAATTTCGTATAGTGCAAGTATGTTAATTATATTAAAAAAAGAACTAAAAATGTGATAAAAAGCATTTACGTAATAAAACTTATTTTTAATAAAGTATGTTGATGTATGTAAATTATGATGAAAGGATTGAATTAATTATCAAATTTATTAAAGGTCAATGACATATTATCAACTAATTCGTTATAACTAAAAATTTGGTATGGTAACTTATTAAACACAACTATTATAACATAAATTAAAACTAAGTATACTTAAATCTATTATTTTTGAAAAATAGTCGCAATCAACACAACTGAAATTTAACATTTCATAGATTAATTGATACAATAATATAATTATATATTAAATTAAGAATAGTAACTAATTTTAAAAACTTTAAATATATTAATTAACAATATAGAGTTGCATAAATCAATAATTCCATTAAATTAAATAACTGTTTAATAAACGAAAATATTAAAATTAATAAGGTTAAGCAAATTTTCACATTTATATTCAATAATATTTTTGCATTATTCTATGTTATTGTTGTTTAATCATTAATGCATCGAATAGCATAGTAAAAGATACTCTTGACTAAAAACATATTTAAGCTCGTAGATATCCACTTAAGCAATCAAAAATATTTGGTTAACAGAACCGTCCCAAAGCTAAAAATATGGGGAAGTGTAAATTACTTTTTATATTTTGAACAATATTTTAACTTGTGTGACTTTTTTTTAATAATTATTTTTTAGTAGCATCCTCTTTTACTAATTTACCATCTCGAGACGGCTGATAAAATCATGTTTTGAAAAACGTATTTGAAAATTCAACACATGGTTCTTTGTGCGAGTTTTATTAATATCTTTGAAGTCCACTTTCTATATACAATATTTACTTATACTAAAAAAATTGTTTTTATCAAACGCCACTAAATGTAATTTCACATTGATATAATTAAATTTTAAAGAAAGATTTTAATTTAAGCATAAAAAGAAAAGTTCTTGAAACTTTCATCTCGATTATGCAGAATGTCCTACTGTNCTTCTCGATTATGCAGAATGTCCTACCGCGATTTACTAATTTTAACATCATATAGTCAAATTAGTAAATCATGGTAAAACACCTTTATATATATCTTCATTTTTATTTCATCTTGAAAATTGTATAAATTTACAAGTTATAAACATAAAGCGAGAAGGTAAAATAAACTTCAATTTTATATTACTAATGTTTAATTAAGCTCATCTTAGACTGAGATTCAATCAAATCCATAAGTGAGACCAAACATATTAAATTATCATAATAACAATTATCATTTTGTTAGAAATTTTTTTTCAAGTAAATTTACCAAAAGTTATAGCATTGTTAGTTAAGTCTGAGACATTCTGTGTAATAGAAAAATTAGTTTTAAAAAAATTCTAATTGTGTATAAAATTATAATTGAATATTGACGATATTGTACCAAAATAAAAACCTTATCTATTTTCAATTTAAACAATCCCGGATAGTATTTTTATAAATAATATAAAAATAAAGTTTTTCAACGTTATAATAAATATAATACTATATTAATGTTGTCAAAATCTTTTATAATATATATTTTTAAATATTTGGAATATTAATGCTCAGTCAGAATTAAAAAGTTCTAACGCAAAATCGATGATTTTTCATTAGATCGTTATTAAAAACATAATTATCATACAATTATACAGAACTTTTAATTTTTAATTTAAGTTATTTCGCTGTATAATAAGTGTAACTTTTTAAATATTCATTAAAAAAATTTATTTATTTTAGTTTCGATGCGAAGCTGAGTACGTATTAATTTTACCATGGTGTGTTTTTTTTTTATTTTTGATGTATCTGTTGCCACTTTTTCTCAGCTCTCACTGAACCGATTTCTTTCAACGATATCTTAAAAGATTACAAATTGTACCTAGTTGAAGACAACACCATCAAAAATTGAAAATTTTTTCCTCGTACCCTGTAAATAGGGAAAATCACTCATAAAATAACGATTTATAAAATCGATAAATTTCGATATTTTTTTTCTAAAAATTGCCATAACTTATTGAAAAATGAACAAATCAAAATAACTTTTTTGTATCGAAACCTTAGGTAATTCGCTTTTATTTGATATTGTATTTTTGAAAATCTGACCATTTACCTGCCCACAAGAGGGAATTCAAAATAGAAAACTATATAGTTTATTTCTGTGTCTGTGGTTAATTTTTCTCAGTTCTCACTTTACCAATACGTTAAAAAAACACGATTTTAATCTTGTTGAACTTATATTCCTCAAACATTGGAAAAAATCCTTTATTTTTTTAGATTGATATATGATGAGAAACTATTAAAATTAAACACTATCTACAGATTTGCATCGATGCGTTCTTATGATAATGATTTTAATCACTGTGAGATATCATCTATACTTGTCCCACTACGTCACGTCCACACTGAGCCGCGAACCAACTGTGTTACCTTTTTTTATTGTGTTAGACCTTTTGATTCTAGGTGAACAATTATTATTGATTTTAATTAAAATATTCATTTTAAATCAAATTAAAATTATTTATTCTTTATAAATAATTGAAACAGTAACATAGAACTCTAATTTTTAATTGTAAAAATCACAAAATTTATTATTAATTGCTTAGTCAAAATTGCTATAACTTTTATGAAAATTAAAGAATTAAATTGTTGGGAACACTCTACATATAGCTTAGAGCAAAAAAGAGTTAAGTGATCTTTTCACTAAATTGAATTATTGTATAATTTTATTAACTTATAGAATTAACTGAATTAATGGTTAGATTTTTAATAAGTATGTGCATAAAAAAAAATATATTGATAGCTGAAAGTAAAAAAAGAACTAAGGGCATTTTGGCTTTTTTTTTGAAAATTTTTTTAAGCTTATAATAAGATTTTTTCTATATAAATTTGGAAAAAATTAATTCAATAATTGAGTCACTCAGTGTCATCAAATAAGTGATAATGTAAAAGAAATAAATGATTTTTAATGTTTTTTTAAAACAATTTTTATCAATATGCATTAGTGACCTTATATTTAATGAAACATTATTATATAAATTTAATATTTACAACAATGTGCTAGTAGATTAATCTATAAGTTTACATACTTTCATTAAAACTAATTATATTAGTATTTAGAACAATGGATATACAAAGGAAATAAAAAAGAAATTTGTTAAAAACAACAGATTAAGTTTTTCAATGATAATTAAAAATAATTATAAACAAAATAAGAAGCATTTTACAGTCATCATTTAAAAACTATCTTAATTAAAAATATTTAGCATTTTTAGTATTATTCACTAGTCAAACTTTTAAATATATACCTTGGTTTATTTGTTTAATCAGATAAAAATTGGGATAACCTAAATTAAAGTTCTATATTGTATGTTAACATAAAATAATTCACTCATTATTTTATAGTCCAAAGGTTCATTATTAGTTGTATTATTTTCTAAATTAATTATTAAATATATTTTTTTTAATAATTTAAATCTTAAATTATTTTAATTGATCTGCTTTTTATTCAGGATATTTAAAGTAATAATTACATAATTTTTTTTTCAACATATTGATAACTTATTGGTATAATTATAGCATTATATTATATCACTTTTAATATAAGTAATATTATTTATTTATTAAGTTATCAATAAATAAAGAGAAAACTTGGACTAACAAAAATACTGTCCCATTATGTTAAAATTTAAATGAACAAATCTTTATTATTTTTCATCAGTTCATGAAGTAGGACATGCTATTATGTTTAATTCTTAAAAAATAATTCAATAAATAATATTTCTTAAAGTGAGTACACTAGAATACTTTTGAAGGTTTCAATAGATTTTTGTATACAACATCAATTGTATTATTCCAGTGTTATATGAATCATGACTTATCTGTTCATCTCATTCTTTCATTGGTTTATCGACTAACAAAAATATGATAAATGCTACTAAAAAAATACATCTTAATGATTTGGTATGTAAACAATTTATTGGTGTTTTATCAATTTTAAATAAATCTAATTAGATTTAATAACTCAAAAACTTACTTATGGTTTCTTAGAAAAATAAGAAATTATTTCAATATAATATTCCGGTAGTTTAGAGCTATAAGCATTAATAAGCTTTATAGTTCATTAAAATAATTTTCTTCAAATGTCATAGATTTCAGTCACATCATTAAATCTTTTTATACACTAAAAAATTCAAAACCTTTCCAAATATCCTTTAAAGTTTTAAGTCACTTCATGATATAATAGTTGGTGTGAAGATATTACGCTTGCAGTTCCTTTTGAGGCATTTAGTTTTTATACTCAAACTTCCTATAGTCCTTTTTTATTTTGAGTAATCAAACAAGAGGATAGATTTTTTAGTTGACAACCTATTCTTATTCATAGTATAGATTTTTTTGTTAAGCCCATAGACACAGACTACTACATAGACTAGATAAATATTACATATAGTCTGTACCATAGAGCCCCTCACAGCCATTTGTCATGATTTTATAGATAACTTTATCAGTGTTATCATTCGAAATTTCGACAAAGAATTCAGGTTTAATTTCAATTTTTTAAATTCAATGATAATGCTTCAATATAGAAATATTTTTATATTAATATAAATTTATTTTTTTTTGTTTTAATAACATTTAAAATATTTATAAGTGTTTTATTTAATATGAAGAAATTGTTACTATTCAATATATTTACCAGTAGATGTCACTGAATACCATAATTTTTTAGGTTATCTGTACATTATGCTTGTCATTTTATCAGAATAACACTTTGTTGAGTTTTTTACAATTCATGTTCCATTAAGTTTCGTTATAGAAATAACTATAATTAGTTAGTCAATATTAAACACATCATACATTTTCTAATCAGGTAACTTATTGTTCTGTATTTTATTTATACTCTGCGTTGACCATAAAAAAAAATACCTTAATTATAAACTTTAAATTTGTCTATTTAATTAAGAATCTTTGTATAACTTATGTTTATTTTAGAGGAACAATGTCATCAAATGAATCACTAATATCTAAAGTGGTTGTTCATCCTTTAGTATTGCTAAGTGTAGTGGATCATTTTACTCGTCTTGGAAAAATTGGTAATCAAAAAAGAGTAGTAGGAGTGCTACTTGGTTCATGGCAACAAAATAAAGTACTTGATATTTCAAATAGTTTTGCTTTACCATTTGATGAAGATGATAAAGATAAATCTGTATGGTTCTTGGACCATGATTATCTTGAAAATATGTATGGTATGTTTAAAAAAGTAAATGCTCGTGAAAAGGTTGTTGGATGGTATCATACTGGTCCTAAACTACATCAAAATGATATAGCTGTCAATGAGCTTGTACGACAATATTGTGTAAATAATACTTCAGTATTAGTAATTGTTGATGTGAAACCTAAAGATGTTGGTATACCTACTGAAGCTTATAGAGTTGTTGAGCAGATTCATGATGATGGATCACCTCCATCTAAAACATTAGAGCATATAGCTAGTGAAATTGGAGCTGAAGAAGCAGAAGAAGTTGGTGTCGAACATTTATTAAGAGATATAAAAGATTCTACCAGTGGTTCTCTCAGTCAACGTGTAGCTAATATTATATTTGGTGCTAGAGGCTTGTATAAGCAAATGGTTGATATAAAAGATTATTTACAACAAGTAGTTGATGGAAAGTTACCTGTGAATCATCAAATTATTTATCAATTACAAGAGATATTCAATTTACTACCAGATGTCGATAAAGAAACATTAGTAGCTGCCATGCATGTTAAGGTGAATGATCATATGCTTGCTGTTTACTTGGCTACAATGATAAGGACAATTATTGCTTTACACAACTTAATCAACAATAAAATTGCAAATAGTGATGATGAAAAAAAGCAACTGAGAGAACCTGAAGAAAAGAAAGAAGATGTAGGCAAAAAAAAGGAAATTAAAGCAAAGTAATTGTTATTTCTACTAAAATTTTGTAAATATATTGCAATAAAATGAATGTCATTTCTAATTGAAAATCCGAAATCAATAATAACATTTGTAACAATTACCATGAAATTTTTTATTTTTTTCAAACTCTATTTTTAAATCTTTAAATGTTGTCTTATATTTTTGATTTCGTATAGTATCAAGTTAAAAAATAAATTATTCTATGTTTATTTAATGCAAACTAATTACTCTACTAAACTATTTAATAATCATTATTTTTTTAATATAATAAAATTAATTTAAAAATGTTCCATATTTTTAGTTGTAATTTTTTTAATATTTAAATATCAAGTAATAGTTATCTGAGTGTGTATTAATTATGAAATAAGTTTTTCTTGTGTTCTTAAAAATAACTACAATTAATTTTTGATATGGAGTATTAAAACCAGACACATTTTTTGCTGGTTCATACATACTTCTGATTTAATTTAAATCAAAACATAAGTGTTTTCAAACTAATATTTAAATGTTAAATTAATGTATAAATTAAAAACTTAAGAAATATTTCACTTCCTCAAAAATTTAATGTTTACCTACTTACATAACTGTATCATCCATTAATTTTCTTTAATTCTTTTAAGAATATGTTTTGAAATAAAAATTCTGTTTTTTTAATGGATTAATTATATAACACATTTAACAAATTTTTTAAATTAAAAAATCTATCAGTAATAAGGCTTTTTATTTTAAATAATATTATGTGATTCGATTTTTTTTTCAAAACAAGTATTGAAAGGTTTCAAAGAGTTCTCAAACAATTAAATAAATTAAACAAATCATGAGCTTATGTATATTGTAATATTGCGAAATCACATAAATGTTGAAATATTTTCATCTATTTATTGAATTTTTTGGCCTTAATTATTGTTGTCAAAAATTAATAATTAAATAACTAAATAAATAAATATCACTCAAAAATATTGGCTACATTTAAAAAAACGATAGCACAGTGGGGCTCGACCCCACTGTGCGGATGAGGCATATNGGTCGAGGCACAGTGTGGACGAGGCATAGATGGGACAAGTATAGATGATATCTGACAGTGATTAAAATCACTATCATAAGAAACGATTCGATGCAAATCTGTAGATAGTGTTTCATTTAGAGAAATTGATGGATTATTCCAAAACCATCATCAACTCTGATTTCTTTAATTATATCCTCATTAGTAGTTTTTTGATTTTAAAATATAATATATGAATAAATAATAATTATAATTATTAAATTTAGTATGAAATTGATATTCAATAATTTAATATAGTAATTTATACAGAGAAATTATAAAAATAATAAAGAAGTTATATTTTGNACAGAGAAATTATAAAAATAATAAAGAAGTTATATTTTGCTTTACTTTTACGTGTATAAAAATTTAAAGGGCTTCATACAATATTTTTCTATAAAAGCTGTTTGTTACTATAAATAAATGCACTCTACTACAAGGAACTTTCATCGGAAGCAAAAATATACTTCTCTAAATCAACTTATCGCGTTGTTTTCAAATCTGCAATTACACTTTTTCTGTCACTTCTAATTTTTTATATTATAACTAATTACATATAAAAAAACCCAGCACAGGGGGGTTGCGGTACAGTGGTGACGTGGCATAGTTGGATCAAGTATAATGATATCTGACAGTGATTAAAAT